TTTTTTTTAAAAACGGACCAATTAGAAGGTGACACGTGGCAAGTGGTGGGGTCAATTAACGGACACTGACGGTCAACTAACGGAAATGACATTTGGTGATATTGTACTAAACCTCAGTGGTATTTGGTGAATTTAGAAAAACACGATGGCATTTGGTGAATTTTTTAAGTACTCAGTGACATTTGGTGAAATTGCTGAAAATTTTCTATTTTGAATTTACATTACTCGTGTTATTTATTTATTTAATAATAAATTTAAATTCAAAAATTTTAAGATTAATTTTTTTTTAAAAAAGGAAATTACTCAAATTAGGATGAACTAGGTTATCCCCGTGCGATGCATGATTAGACTTAATCTTTCTTGTAATTTATATTTCTATGTATTACATTGTATATGAAGTTTAAAATTAGATATACAAATAATTTACATTTAAGGAAAGTAAAAAAATTTGAAATCACGATCAAATATCAAACAAATTAGGCATGTGAAATTATAACTTAGGAGAAAAACTTGGCTAATTGAATTTTATATAGACACTTATGCATTGAAGTCAAAAGTATATATTAAAAAAAAATTTAAAATCATTAATAATTGATAACATCACACTTAAAATAGGAGGAAAAAAATTTAATGTGAGAATGACACGTAAGATAGTTTGAGGGTTGATGATGTTAGCAACGTTTTGTTTTAATAATAGTTAAAGATTTCATTCACGTTATATGACAAGGCAAAAAACAACAACTTAATCAATAATAATTACTCCATAGTATGTAATTAAAAAAAACTAAATGGTCCCTAAAAATAATTAGTGTTAATCAGTTAATTGGTATAACCGTATAAATTGTGACTATTTGGGTTCAAAATAGTGTTTTTTTTTGGGAAATTCTACATGGTGGCCTCCTGGATTCAATTTTTCTACGTGGAAGACAAACTTTTTATCAACTCTCTTTAGTGACATCCAAGTTTGGAAAAAAATAAGTATAGCGCCCTTTTTTGGGTTTGATGGCTAATTATTTTTTTAATTTAATTATGGTTAACCAAAAAACTAAAAAAGTTAGCCATCAAACCCAAAAAAGGGCATTATACTTATTATTTCCAAACTTGGGTGCCACTTAAGAGAGTTGGAAAAAAATTTGTCTTCCACGTAGAAAAGTTGGATCCAGGAGGCCACCATGTAGAATTTACCTTTTTTTTTTTTACAACAGGTAAACAAACTAAATACTACCTCCGTAAAGTTTTAGTTGCAACTTTTACTGTATTTGGATGCTTAGTATTAGTTGCAACTTTCTCAAATCTTTCCCTTTTTTGTAAGTTTTTTTTGTTGAAAATGTCAATATTACCCTTATTTAAAAAATTAAACATTCACTTAGATAATTAATTACATTACACTAACAACTTAATCTAAATGTTAATCTAACAACTCACACCAAAAATTAACCCATTTTCCCACGTACCAAACTATTTTCCCTCAATTTATTCCATAGATGTTCATCAATTCATCAAATCTGATGAATGAAAACCATAGTTCTTAAACATTCTACCTCCTTCTTCCCAACTTGGCTCTTTTTCTCTCCTCTCAATCTCCATTTATCTCAACCTCCATTTGATTTCGACTCTGGCAAGCACTACTAGTAGCAACGTCGTCGTCGTCGTGGCTATGGTGGTTTTGCGGCAAGAAGGGAAGCAACACACATGGTTGCTTTCATGGATGTGATTTTTGTGGGTTTGTGGGTGGTCTGCATTTAAGGGTTTCAGGGAGTTTGTGGGTGGTCTCAGTAATTTTTGGTGGGTTTGTGGGTGGTTTTGGTGATTTTTGGTGGGTTTATGGGTGGTTTGGGTGATTTTCGTGGGTTTGTGAGTGATTTCGATGATTTTCGTGGGTTTGTGGGTGGTTTTGATGGTGTCGGTGTTGGTAGGTGGTCTAGGTTTAGGTGGTGTCGGGGGTTTCGATGGTGTCGATCGGTGGTCTGGGTTTCGGTGGTGTCGGAGGTGTCGACCGGTGGAATGGGTTTGGGGGTTTCGGTGGTGTCGGTGGTGTCGGTGGTGGTGGCGGTCTGGGTTTGGGGGTTTCGGTGGTGTCAGTGGTCTGGGTTTAGGGGGTTTGGTGGTGGTGGCCTGGTGTGTTGAGTGGCTTGGATGGTTAGTTAATCAAGTTTATTTTATCTCTCTTTTCTTTAATCACATACCCTTTTATCCCATAATCACCATTAAGAAATTTTAACTTGGGATTCATGTTGCCAAAGTTGCAACTAAAACTTAACGGAGGTAGTAACAGTTATATCTTCAAAGGACAAAGCCAACCCAATGGCTAACTGAGCTTTAATGGATAGTAAAAAATTGTTGTGCCGTTGTTGGCAATTGGTAAGTATTTAGGCCTCAAAATCCAGGCCTAATGAGCCTAGTTGTTAGCAAAGTACCTGTAATGAATCATTTTTCTTAACAAAAAAAAAAGTGTGTTAAATTTTGTTGGTTGGTGTATTAGCTTTCCTGGAGTACAACGAGGTGCAGAATAATACTGGTATATTGTCAATATTGATATTAGTTTTCAACAGCAGGTTGAAATTGCTAATCTTGTTATAATGATATAGATTTAAGCAATTTGAAATTTAAAATGATGCTTAATTTATCCTCAATGCCTGAAAACTTCTGTTTGCACGCATCGCCTGAACATTGATTATCTTAATCAAGCTAACAACAATTACAAATTAACTATAAACTAATATAACCATAATTGACATTTAAAAATGTCCATTATCCTATATCAATGGCATACATCGCGTAAAACTTAGTAAGCACTTCTGCTAATTAGGCTAAAGCATGAGAGGAAGAAAATAATCATGAAACTGAATAAATGAATATGTAGATCAGAGCAAAGAAAATTATACTTTTTCCGTTATTTTGTTGCATCACTTTATAAATACAGACTCATAGGTGATTATTGGAGATGAGAGAGAATAAAAAAAAAATGGACCCATGTGATAGGAGAGAAATAAAAGAGTTTTTAACTAAAAAGAAAAATGATGCAACTAATTAGAAACTTCCGTTTGAGGAAAGTAATGCAACTAAAAAGAAGCGGAGGAAGTATATGGTGAGTATATTTCTACCTAATACTCACTCATGATAGTCAATTTGTATTATCTACTGTGAAAACAACTAGAGCACCTAGAGTATTGTTACATAAATTTTATGAGTATGGACATAATATTATGAGTCATAAAAGCCAATTGTTTATCGAGAGTTAACTAAATACTACCTCCGTTTTTTTATTATTTGCAACAATTACTAAAATAGGGTGTTTCGTATTATTTGCAACAAACAATTTTATTTCCTTTTGTAGTAAGTTTTATAATGGTAAAATTACCATATTACCCTTATAAAAAATTGATTATGTACTAACCTACTATCTAACTATGATTAATAACCCCAAACTAATCAGATTCATCCTTCCAACCCCAATCAATCCCTGTATTTTCATTCTCACTTATTTCTCACTATCTCCTTCAACCATCTTCTTCAACCATCACCTTCAATGGCAAACACCACCACCAGTCCACCACTACTACCACCGTACCGATCTCCACTCTATCTTCATCTACCCATAAATTCCCCCTCTCTTTGTTCATCTCCCCTCAAATTCAACCACCACCTTCGCCGGAAGTCACCGTCGCTGTCCTGCTTGTCGCCGTCTCCGCTTTCTCTCTCTTCCTTCTCCTTTTGTTTCAGTCTTGTCACTAAAGCTCAAATTTGAAGGTTTTATGGTCAAATTTAACCATGAAAATTCTAGATCTAGAATTTTAATGGTTAAATTTGACCAAATAAAGCTTTAATTGATGATAGAGAAGCTAATGGTTTTTCATTTGTAACTTTGGGTTGGTTTTTTTAGGGGCAGGATTCATTGTGTTAGATTTTTCCGGTTGGAGGTGGTGGTTTTGGGGTGGGTACGACTATTTGGGGAGGGTAAGGTGGGTATTTTGAGATGGTGGGTGAGGTTTTTTGGAAGGGTTTATTTGAGTATGGGTGGTTTCTCGGTGGTTTACGAGGTGGGGCGGATGTCGGGATCTTGGTGGTGGTGTGGTGGGTCTGTGGCTAAGGCTCGGTTTGGTGGGCGCCGGGCGGCCTTGTGTGCCGGGGGTGCATGGGTGGCTCGATGGGACGATCTGGTGGTGGTGGTGTGGGCGATCTAGTGGCCTGCTGGGTGGTGGTGTGGGCGGTCTAGTGGCCTGCTGGGTGGTTTGTGGGATGAATTAATTAATCATCCACTTTACCCTAATCACATGCCCCACTACCTATTTATCCACTACTAAACAACTACTAAAACTTTTGCCTTAGCATGCGTGAAAAGTACACTTTTGTTGCAAATAACAAAAAACGGAGGTAGTACATAGAATTTGATCGAATTGGTGGTTAATAAGAAATTATTTTTTCCGTTTCTTTTTAGTTGATACGTTTTTTTAGTCACGTTTGTCAATGTATAAATTCAACCATTAATATCTTTAATTGCCGATAAGCCAAAATTATGAAAAGTTGATATTTAATTTTGAAAATAGATATCGTGACGAATCTAATAAGATCTTACATGACTATATTTTTCATTACATATAAAAGGTAAAACACGGTTAAAGGGTTAAAGGGGAGTGTGAATAGTGCTAAAGTCAAAACGTATCAACTAAAAAAAACAGAGGTAGTATAACATTATAATTAAAGATCAAATTGACAAAAATAAACGAAGCTAAAAAGCATGGAACTTCATGATCGAGGAGTTGTGAACAATTGTCAAAATGTCTCAGTTAATTTTAGCTGGCATGTTACAGATAGTGCTATATGCCTATATTAGAGAAATGTAAAGTCAACTGAAGTACTATAATCCGATAAGTACAGTCATAGTTATGCACATGGGATATCTTTGTCAAGAAGAAGAAGTCAATCAATAAAGTCAATTCCAATTTATACTTCAACTCCTTTATTACTACTTATGATCGATCTTACTTAGTGCACGCATATCTTTGTTTCTCTAGTACAAATAATATTCGAACAAGTACTTCATAATCGACGATTAGTCGATCATGAAGTCTACCGCAGAACATACAAAGATGGCCGGCGTCACGGTGGTAGGGCTTATAGTAGTATTGTTGTCAATGCAAGTTATGGCTACATCAGCACAAGAAGATTCTACAATGTTAGGGATGTGTTGGCAGAGGTTGTCAAACTGTAATGCTGCGTCGACGGCTCCGTCGATGTGCTGTAATGTACTCAAGGAAGATATACGAGAAGACAGGGAATGTTTTTGCAACGTCAAGTCTATTATCAATGCAAATGCTACCCTTGCGAACACCATGTCTCAGCTTCTCTTAGTTTGTGGAGTCCCATCTTCTTATAACACATTATGTCCTGGTAATGGTATTATCTAACATTTCATTCAATTTGTGAAGGAGAATTAAATTTTAGTATGGTTTTTTTATTTTTTTTCTTTTATGTTCTGTTCTCTTATGATTTTGATTCATTGAGTTCAGTGTAATATAAATGACAAATAAGAGTATCACTATAATTGCATCTTATTAATCTTCCAATTCTCCAAATCCCGTGGTCAGACAACGAAGCGCCTTCACCGACTTTACGTCGTGTGCCATCACAATGCCCTGCCACCTGGGATGTGCCATCTACACCAATCGGTATAGATTTGTCATTGTGATCTTCAATGCTTCTGCGTATATCTTAATTTATTTATAAATAGATGGATTATTAGATCTAAATGCACCCAATGCTTGGTTTGATTTAGAATAAATTAATCTTGTATTTTTGACATTTTAGCACGAGATGCAAGTTAAATTTGAACATTAATAGTAAGATAAATCACTAACTTGCTTTGTGCATAGCAGATACTTCATCAGATGAGACCAGTTCTCTAGATTCAACAACATCCTCCTCATCAATTCGAGGTAATATATAAATAGATTTTAGAAAAAGGTACTTATTAATTTATTTATTTTTTTTTTTTTACGTATGTTTGGTCATTGTACATACTGCACTTTTTTGTACAGGGAAACTTCATATAATAATCCCTGCTGTCATCGTTGCATTTGTGGCCGTGTTTGTGATCGTGACACTAGTCATATGCTTATGCATTTGCAAGAAGAAACCGAAACCAGAAAAATCTGAAGATGGTAATCATCAAAGCTAATATTGTTGGATATTAGACTGCCTAATTTTACTTATGTAATGCAATCCTTGATTTTATTTTTTCTTGTGTGTGTGTATATATATAGTGCATGGACTTGTGCAAAAATATGATGTCGCTCTTCCAACTCTGACTCCATCTGTCGTTGTTCCAATATCGAATGTCACAAATGATTCTATCTATGGTAATACTTTTATGATTTCTATCTAAATTTAGTTGTCACATCACTTGTTCAAATTACACGTACTATAAATCTAGTTCAAATTACATGTACTATCAATATGTGGTTAATTCCTTCCAACTCTTTGTGTTGTAAAAGGGAATATGGTTTCTGGTGAATTGCCTCAAACTCCAGCATCAAAGAATGATTTTGTGACAGCTGAATCGTTGCAATATGACCTAAGAACACTCCAGACAGCCACTAACAACTTCTCTGATCATCAAAAAATTGGTCGCGGAGGATTTGGTGTTGTTTATAAGGTTACTCCTTATGACTAATTTCAAACTCATTTGCATCTATTGTTATATTAGAAACAGATGTAGATAAATTCCAAAAATTTATGTTTGTTTTGGGTCAGGGAACCTTGGAGGATGGCAGAGAAATAGCTGTGAAACGACTATCGAACAGCTCTAGGCAAGGTGAAAAGGAATTCAAGAATGAGGTGGTACTGTTAGCAAAGCTTCAACATAGAAATTTGGTAAGACTAGTTGGATTTTGTGTAGCTGATAGAGAGAAGCTACTCGTATACGAATTCGTGCCTAACAAGAGCTTAGACTACTTCCTATTTGGTATTGTACTCTAAAACCTATTATAATTAATAGGTGTGGTGTTGTCAAGAGTTATGTCATTCATGTTATTCCTAACTTGGAATGTTTGGAATTTGTATGACTGATGACATACAGATCCTGAAAAACAAGCTCAAATGAATTGGTCAATGCGCTACAATATTATAAAAGGCATTGCTCGAGGAATGCTTTACCTCCATGAAGACTCCCCTATTAGAATCATTCACCGCGATCTCAAAGCTGGCAATGTCTTGCTACATGCAGAGATGAGCCCGAAAATTGCTGATTTTGGCATGGCCAGGATATGTGCTTTTGAACAGACACATATTGATACAAGTCGAGTTGTTGGTACTTAGTAAGTCAACTCTGCCAAAGGATGAAAACTACACATACTTAGTAACTTGTAAGAGTTGGTTTTATGGTCTTATATACATGCCTTATTCTGTTTCGTTCTCATGAACTACAGTGGTTACATGGCTCCTGAGTATTTACTTCACGGACAATTCTCCACAAAATCAGATGTATACAGTTTCGGCTTGCTAGTCTTAGAAATTGTAAGCGGACGAAGGGTCAATAGTTTCATCTACCAATCTGAAGCAGGCGAAAACCTTTTGATTTATGTGAGTATACGTACATTATACATGTAATTGTATTATTACCTTTATTTTTCTCGGCATGTTGACAAATTCCATATCATGTATATCAGGCTTGGAAATGTTATTTGGAAGAAAGAACATCGGAGCTCATAGATAAAACAATGAGAGATTCATGCTCAAATGACGAAGTCATGAAATGCGTGAATTTAGGCCTAATGTGTGTTCAAGAGGACGTTACTAGGAGGCCTACGATAGACATAATAGGTCACATACTCAGCTCTAAGCCTAGCGATGTTGTGACTAAGGCTCCTTCAATGCCTCAACCCCCAGCGTTCTTGTACAGCAGCAGTTCAGACCTATCGACGACAAGAAGCAACACTAGTTCATTGCCATCTACAGCAACAAGAAGTGACTCATATTCACTAACTGAAACTAATAGGAAGTTCACTGACTTTGGATCTTAAATGATGAAACAATTAATTTTCATTTCCCCTGTTTTTGAACATATACAAAGGCCTCTTTGTTAAGTACAGAGTATGCACTCTTCACTTCAATGTTATATCCTCTTTTTACCTTTATTTATTGTGTAGATATATATTCTACGTAGTATCATATATTATATACTCTCTTTCTTTTTTTTTTTTTTTTTTTTAATTGAAAGCACCTCAGATAAGGAAATGAGCAAAATATATGGTTGGTCGAGTGCAATATTTACATTTTATTTTAATTGAAGTGGAGAAAGAGCGTATATGATGGCCATCCATGAATGTAGCTATTGACCAATTAGTACAGACACCTTCAAATAGAAAGCAAGTTGGTAATTTTTTTTACTTATTTAAACGTGACCCCATTTCTTCTAGTAGTACTACTGACTTTTGATGCATCTTTCATCTTGACCTTATGAAAAATTATTTAATGGAAGTTAGAGAATACAAGTATATGATTAGAGAAATTTAGAGAAGAAAGAAATATAGCCAAACAAAGCTAAAAATATGAGAAAGAAAATAGAGAACTTGAAATATTACAACTACTACATGGAAGTGTTATTGATAATGGGGTTAGGAATTATTTGTTTGTCAATTCCTACACCTTCATCAGCCCAAGATATAGTTAACGAGAAATATTTGCCGCCGTGTTGGGTAAACATTACAAACTGTATGCAAGATCATATAGACCGGAGTGGATCAGAGCCACAATTCAATTCATCGAGCTCAATGTTTAATTTGAGCGAATTCCTGTGCTGCCCTCTCATACAACAGACTGCTCAGACAGAGAAGCAGTGTTTCTGTTTTGTCAACACCTTCATTAATCAAAATCCTTCCTTTGAATCCAATGTAACATTGGTCTTGAGTTATTGCCAGGTTGCGAATTCCCTTACTTCTCTTAAAACCTACTGTCAAGGTACGTTTTTCTTTACATTGCTACATAATAGTATATACTTGTAATATCCAATACAAGCGTTGTATAGTTGTAGGGCAATAACGATTAATTTGTTTTGTCCCTGCTGGATCACCTCCTCCAGATGCTCTTGTTTCTGGATCAACATCGTCTCCAACTCCTACTTCAGGTAAAATATCTTTTTGGATTGAACTTTTCACAAGGCAATATGACTTGACAAATTGAGTTTTGAGCCTGGCTGTTATGCTGCAGGAAAACTCAAGATTATTATTCCTGTTGCTGCATCATCAGCAGCCATCATACTCTTGGTAATAGGCATTGTTATAGCTCTTAAGTGTCGGAAAGGCAAGAAGAAGGCTGAAGGTGAAGCCAATTCTCTAAGCGTTAACAATCTGGAAAACTCACAGATAGAAGACTTGAGCTTAATTTAGTTAGTAAAGTTGTTAAGTAACCTCGCTTATTAGCTTCTTTTGTTTTTTGGGTGCTATAGCAGGGTATGTGCCACCTGCACCTGCAGACGATCAAATTGTTACAGTTGAATCCTTGCAATATGAATGGGAAGCCCTCAAGGCTGCCACTAAAAACTTCTCCGATGATCACAAGATTGGTCAAGGGGGATTTGGCATCGTCTACAAGGTAAATACAAGGAGGAATGATACCAAAATACCAAATAGACAACTTGACATCCACACTAAAATAAAATTTCGTGATTCTATTGTACTTGCAACATGTAGATTTACTAGATAGTAGATGTAGTACTTAATTAGATGAAAAATTATAGTATTTCAGTTATCGGCTCTCTATCTTTTGTTTAGGGCACTTTACAAAATGGACAAGAAGTTGCGGTGAAAAGGCTATCAAGCGGCTCTTGCCAAGGTGAAAAAGAATTTAAAAATGAGGTGGCATTGGTAGCCAAGCTTCAGCACAGAAATTTAGTAAAGCTAGAAGGATTTTGCTTGGCAAGAGAAGAAGAAAAGTTACTCGTGTACGAGTTCGTGGCTAACAAAAGTCTTGACTACTTCCTCTTTGGTAATATTGTTTATTCTTTATATATATATATATATATATATATATATATATATATATATATATATTCTATTTTAGGTGTTCCCTTTTATCATGTTGAATCATTCATCTAGTTACTTCAATGTGTTACAGATGCTGAAAAACAAAGACAATTGGATTGGCCAAAGCGTTATGACATAATAAAAGGCATTGCTAGAGGAATGCTCTACCTCCATGTAGACTCTCCCATCCGACTCATCCACCGTGATCTTAAGGCAGCCAATGTTTTGTTAGATGAGGAGATGCATCCTAAAATTGCAGACTTTGGCATGGCTAGGATCTTTGACGAAAAAACCTACTGCCATACAAGCAGAATTATTGGGACTTAGTAAGCCAAATATATAAAATTTTATCATACAATAATCTTGACCAAAATTGGAAAAAAAAAAAAAAAAATTAAACTTGGGGAAATTTTGTGCTACACTTCTTCACTTATGCTTAAGTAACGGGTATATGTTAATGTGTACGTGGTGTTAATAACCATATATATCCTCTTCTGTTTCATGAATTGCAGTGGTTATATGGCTCCGGAATATATAATCCATGGACAATTCAACGTAAAATCAGATGTCTACAGCTTTGGCGTGCTAGTTTTAGAGATTGTGAGTGGAATAAGGATAAGTGCCATGACCTATCAATCTGGCATGACTGAAAACCTTCTAAGCTATGTGAGTATATTTATGGGCAATGATGTTAGTGTCTTTTCAAATTTTGCAAGAAAAGTTTTGGGTCAGTGTTAATATTAGATAATAAAAAAATATGTTGAAATGTACATATCTAAAATTGTCGAAATGGAATCACTAGAATTAAATATTGGTGTTTTATTACAGGGATGGAAATGTTGGAAAGATGGGAGATCATTGGAATTTATAAATCCAACTCTAAGAGACTCTTACTCGAAAACGGAAATTACGAGGTGTATTCACCTAGGATTGTTATGCGTCCAAGAAGAGATGAGGAAAAGACCTAGCATGTCGACGATAGCTCTTATGCTCAACTCTAATTTTGCAGTTGGAGCTTTGCCAATACCCCAACCTCCTGCTTTCATGTATAGTGGAAATGCGGATCAATCAACAATGAGTAACACGGCTTCAATTCCATGGTCTAGTGGAACATCAACCAATGAGTCGAATACAATGTTGTGACAAGATTAACGACATGGAGCCCCAGGACGTTAGAGACTTATGATGTTCCATAACCATACTCTTCAGTCTATACCACTTCATAGCTCCTTCTAGTTTTCCTTTATGATAATGCTTGTTTTTTGCTTCTTATGTTTGAGAATGTTAGAGGACCAACTCAACCAAAAGCTTAAGCTGATTGTTGAGACCCGGTAATATGTTTTATACTCTATCAGAGAACCATACTCATCTAGTTTTTCTGGTTACTTTTTGCTAATGTCAACCTCAAATTTGGCTCCTAATATAAGAGCCGAAATAACCCCCAAAAAAATTTAACTGAACAATTTTAACCAAGTAATCTTTGCAACTCGCAAATCGAGCATTTTCTTGCACGCAAGCCAAGGAATTTCAAGTCAACTTTGGCTAATATCGATCTTAAAGCTGATTCTTAAGAGCTAAAATGACCTCCATAACCTTAACCGAGTAATAACCTAAAGCACGCAAACTAAGACATTTCTATTATGAGATTATTGTTTGATTTGTTGAAAGAGGTATAACTCAAATAACAAAGGCCAATACAAAGCCACGATGTTTAATTGTTCATTCATGGATGAGAAAATTTTGGGCCAAAAGGACCCACAAAAGTTTTAAGTTGCAAAAATTTATCCTATTAGCCAATCCATTAATTATCCAAAAGCCCCAAAATCAAAACTCAACCTCACAATTTCTTGTTTATCATCAAATTCCCTCATAAAACTGAAATTTCCAGCAGACCTCACAAAAGTGAGGTTAGTGAGGAGAAAGAAATAGCAAGTGAGTAAAAATGGCGGCAGAATCGTTGAGAATTACAGGAACACTTGAACCCCTTTGCAATGTTAATGGGTCTCAAAATAAGCTACTTTCTCTCTCCTCCTCCCACCACCACAGTCGCCGCCGTCTCAACGTGTCTTCTTCTCTCTCCTCCTTCTTCGGGGGTGTTCGAATTAGCAGGTGTAATTCCAGAAATGCCCCTGCTTTGCAGCAGCAGAGGAGGAAGTTCTCTGTTTTTGCCATGGCTACTGATGGTAATATGCTTGTTTCTTTATATATTGTTGGTGTTCATTTGTATTTTGTGATGTGGGTTTTTAGTTTCTGGAATTTTTTTTAAGTACCCAGTTAGTTTAATTGTGTAATTATTGAGATAATTTGCTGTTTTTGTGTTCTGGAATTTGGGTTAGTTTTGGCTATGATTCTATAACAGTTCAGTTTAATTTCAAATTCAAGTGTAATTGTGATGGTGTGCTTAATGGAGCTGATAGTTGCTGATAAATGGTAGAATTGATACTGATAAAGATGTTAATTAAAAATTAAAACTTGTTTAAGTATTTAATGAGGACACTGAGTTTTTCCAGAAGAAGAGATGTGGGGTGAAGTTTGGTGTGAATTTGTTGGTGTATTAAAATGGGAAAATGTTGCCTTGTTATATACTGAGTATCAATTTTCCTCAAATTGATTCCCCCACAATTTAATTAGGTTTCTGCTATGCTAATTGCATATTCATTAGTAATGTTCATAACGTGGCCCATGAGTGGCTCATTGTCTTACATGGTAAATTGGCTGAAGAGTTTGGTCTTGTCAATTGTATCGCCTTTGCTAAATGTTTCCATCTCTCTGAATGAGCTGTATGACTGTTTCGTTGGGACATTTCTCTTATGAAGGAAACATTAATGTTAATAATGTTGAACTCATTTTTTATGAATTGAGCATCCCTATAGTTTTGTTTCCTCAGAAAGGTACATGGATTATGTTGCTGTGGTTTCATTATTAATCATGCTCTTAAGCTTAAACTTGTATATCTTTCACTTTTTTTTGTATTTGACATGTATCAAGATTTCGCAAAATTTGTGGCGGCTGTTACTATTGCCTTTGAATTCTAGCTTATATTAGAAAAGGTAACTACTTTCCGGGGTTAAAATGCTATAACTTGGACCTATAATGAAGATCGCTGCATTGAACCATGCCAATTTGTTTAGCATAGTAATATTGAACTCGAGTTCTCATGCATCTTTTTTTTTTTTTTTTTTTTTTTTTTTTTTTTTTACAAATTCATTAATTAGAGCTTGGAAGAAGAATTTTTGTTTTTGAAAGTGGGAATATGAGGATATCCTAGTAGAGACCTTGCCTATGGTTTTTTTTTTTTTTTTTCCTTTGTGGTATTTCTGTGGGCAAAGTAGGATGAATTTCCTTTGTGGTATTTCTATGGGCAAAGTAGGATGAATATCATCCTTATGAGTGCCCACTAAAGTCTATAACTGTGATCTGTGATTAGTATACATGTCAAGTTCATATGCATTATTGCTTATCGCGAGTTTGTGATGACTGTCAGACTTCATTTCTTGTCTGCTGACATGGACAATATAATTTTTGTTTTGTGCCAGAGGGCAAGAGGAAAATCCCACTAAAAGATTATCGTAATATTGGAATCATGGCTCATATAGATGCTGGGAAAACTACTACAACTGAGAGGGTCCTGTTCTACACAGGCCGGAACTATAAGATTGGTGAGGTGCACGAAGGAACAGCGACTATGGATTGGATGGAGCAAGAACAAGAAAGAGGGATCACGATCACTTCTGCAGCAACTACAACCTATTGGAATAATCATCGCATCAATATTATTGATACTCCTGGCCATGTCGACTTCACTTTGGAAGTCGAGCGGGCTCTTAGAGTGTTGGATGGTGCTATATGCTTGTTTGACAGTGTAGCTGGGGTGGAGCCACAATCTGAAACTGTGTGGAGGCAAGCAGATAAATATGGTGTGCCCCGTATATGTTTTGTTAATAAGATGGATCGTCTAGGTGCAAATTTCTTCAGAACAAGAGATATGATTGTCACTAATTTGGGCGCAAAGCCCTGTGTAATTCAATTGCCTATTGGTGCAGAGGACAATTTCAAGGGAGTCATTGATCTTGTGAAAATGAGAGCTGTTGTGTGGTCAGGGGAGGAATTGGGTGCAAAATTCAGTTATGAAGACATTCCCGCAGATCTCCAGGAATTGGCTGCAGATTATCGGGCGCAACTGATAGAAACTGTAGTAGAATTAGATGATGAGGCTATGGAGGGCTACTTGGAAGGAAAAGAGCCTGATGAGGAAACAATCAAGAAACTTATTAGGAAAGGAACCATCTCAGCCAGTTTTGTTCCTGTTATGTGTGGTTCAGCCTTCAAAAATAAGGGTGTTCAGCCTTTGCTTGATGCAGTAGTAGATTATTTACCATCACCTCTTGAATTGCCCCCAATGAAGGGTTCTGATCCAGAAAATCCTGAATTGGAAATAGAGAGGGAGCCAAGTGATGATGCACCATTTTCTGGCTTAGCTTTTAAGATCATGAGCGATCCATTTGTGGGTTCTCTTACATTTGTGAGAGTCTATTCGGGCAAACTAGCAGCCGGATCTTATGTATTGAATGCAAATAAGGGGAAGAAAGAAAGAATTGGTAGGCTTCTGGAAATGCATGCCAACAGCAGAGAGGATATTAAGGTGGCATTAACAGGTGATATTGTTGCACTTGCTGGTCTAAAAGACACCATCACTGGTGAAACACTCTGTGACCCAGAAAAGCCTGTTGTGCTTGAACGTATGGATTTCCCTGATCCTGTCATTAAGGTGGCTATTGAACCCAAGACTAAAGCTGATATTGACAAAATGGCTACTGGTCTGATAAAGCTTGCTCAAGAAGATCCTTCTTTCCACTTCTCACGTGATGAAGAAATCAACCAGACAATCATTGAAGGAATGGGAGAGTTACATCTTGAGATCATTGTTGATCGGCTCAAAAGAGAATTTAAGGTTTGTATCGGTGCATCACCTTACTAATTGCATTTGTTTTTATGTCATGTTTGACTTATTTGCTGCATGCCTGCACAAGCTGTCTCTACATATTTTTGACTTGTTTGCTTGCATCTAAGTCATTTATACTTCCATTAATTTGGCTGTCGAACATCTCATCTATTGACTGTAGCACAAAATGCAAATATTTGATGGTTTTCCTGGCAAACCTATTGATTTAATAAGCTTTTCCAACATCTGCTAATTGTTGTACTAATTGTTTTGGTGTGGAGTTGCCCTTTTCCACTAAGTATGTTGGAGTTAATGACCTGATTTTCTTATCTGCCACTCTATACAGGTTGAGGCCAATGTTGGTGCACCACAGGTTAACTACCGTGAAAGTATTTCTAAAGTTTCTGAAGTCAAGTATGTTCACAAGAAACAGTCAGGTGGCCAAGGACAGTTTGCCGACATCACTGTGCGATTTGAACCTTTAGAGGCTGGAAGTGGATATGAATTTGTTAGTGAAATTAAGGGTGGTGCAGTGCCCAAGGAATATATCCCTGGAGTCATGAAGGGATTGGAAGAGTGTATGAGCAATGGTGTGCTTGCGGGTTTTCCTGTGGTTGATGTGCGTGCCGCACTAGTGGATGGTTCATACCATGATGTTGACTCGAGTGTCTTAGCTTTCCAACTGGCAGCCAGAGGGGCTTTCCGGGAAGGAATGAGAAAGGCCGGTCCAAAGATGTTGGAACCAATTATGAAAGTTGAAGTAGTTACACCTGAAGAACACTTGGGAGATGTGATCGGTGACCTGAACTCCAGGAGAGGGCAAATCAACAGCTTTGGTGATAAGCCTGGTGGTCTCAAGGTATGTTTGCCTTGTCATTGTTATATCACTCAGAACTTGTCCACTTCCTCCTTGTTATTTTCTTCCTTCGATCGTGTTGTATCTGTTCTTTCAAGCTTATGGTTTTAATGACCATTACCAGAGAGTGAAAGATATAGGCTTGAACTTAATCTCATCCAACTCTTTGGGTGCCGGCCATGCTCTGATAACTATGCCTCGTCTGGTTCTCTAGAACACTATGGCTGATGTAAAAGAGGGAATGTCAAGTATATATTAACACCATGCCAAACAGATCTTACCATAGGATGCATGGCCAACTTTTAGGAAATGTGTGATCCAAAAAAAAAAATCCTTCCTTGGTTCCATTTCAGGCAAGCGGACAAGGATTGCTTAGATTGTAGAGAATAAGGTTAAGTAGAGGATGAGAGATACTCCGCATAAATTTCAGGATTACCTGAAATAAGGTAGCCACTTAATGAGATGTAGTTTTTCAGGATAACCTGAAGCTTAGATTGGATTCAATTAGACACTAGCTGCCAATAGTAATCATGAATTTTCAGAATCAATTATCTTTTTTAGTTCAGCTAGTAAAACTGTACAAGGGTGGAATCATCTGGAGCTCATTAAGAATCTAATTTGCAATTTTGGCTCAATTTTGAAGCGATAGAATATTTGCCTCATCTAAATGCTAAATTTTGTTGTCACTCATGAATCACCCTTGATTATGTGCAGGTTGTAGACTCCCTTGTTCCGCTGGCTGAGATGTTCCAATACGTGAGTACATTGCGAGGAATGACTAAAGGGCGTGCGTCCTACACAATGCAGCTAGCTAAATTCGATGTTGTTCCTCAGCATATCCAGAACCAGCTCGCCGCTTCAAAGGAAGAATTGGTGTCTGCTTAACTTACTACCGCCCTATCTGCTAGGTCCCAGTGACAGATTTTGCTGATATCTTGTAATTTAAACATTGATTTGGTATATTCAGCTTTCGTTATGTTTGGCGTCAGCTTTTGTATAGGTAGTCAATCATTTGTCAGAAAGATCCCAAATGTAGTACAAAACTCAGTAATATATAATCTGTGAAGGTTGATCAAATTTTTGGAAGAATTTTTGCTGGGTTTAGAGGTTCTATTTGGGACAATAAACGTGCAAAGATTTACTCATAATGGTGTATTTATATGATTGAAACCGAAAAAAACAAAAGAAAAACGAAGAGCCTGTTAACGCCTACAGTAACAAACAAAAAAACCTGTTAAACTATCCTCCGTGCTAACGAGTTAAGGTTCAAGTCCTTACAAAGCAAGTGCTATTAGAGAAAGGGTTCTATTTTCGATCAGCTAAACTAACAGATTCTAGACTGATTGTGCCACATAAAGGAATCAATAATCAAAGACGATAAACACAAAATACTTCCATTAAAATAAGTTCAAAATTTCAACAAGAATTAAACTAGATTGATCCACCAATCCAGAATATTACATAGTTGGGGTAGTGCAAAAAACATCAAATGCCAAAGTTGTGCCACTGTTGCTAAGAATAGATCAACTTATCACTGTTTCTAAATAGATCAACTTATTACATAGTTATCATCTAACTTGAACAATTCCAGCACTGACCAACTTTTGGATCTTATTCATCACCATTGGATTCTTCATATGATCTTGTGCTGCCTTGGGATTCTCCTGAAAGTCTATCAAAACCTGAAATCCGGAAATTCAATCAGCAAAACATGAGTTAAAGATAAAGATTTTACAAAAAATAACAATGGAATTATATCCTTCTCAAACTTTATAGAACAAAGAGATTTTACAAAAATAACAATGCCGCTATTAATTTCAATCCCCTCCCCTCAGCAAGGGCTAGTAAAATGCAAGATTTTTCTACTTTAAACTTCATTTTCAAAAATATTGCACTTCACAAAGAATATACCTGTCTCATGACAGGATCAGTGAGGATGTTCTGGATTTCTGGATCCTGCATTCCCTTAGCCTGCAGAGATCAGAAGCACAACTGTCAAGAATTTTTTCTCAAACATAATCTTAATTTAATTATTCATCAACAAGCGTATAACAAGACCTGTCTCTCTTTGAGTTCTTCAGGAGTCAAATCCCCACGGCTTGCTTTATTAATTTGTTGTACACATCTACAAGAAAGTCATAGCAAAATTCAGTAATGTAAAGAACGCATATTTAAAGGTGGCAAACACACAAATGTCTGACGTTCTTCTACACACCTTCGCACGCCATCCAACAATTCCTGGTTGTTTGGCTCGAGTTTTAATCCTTCCTGGTAAGTTTCTAATGCCTTCTCATATTCCTTCATGAAGAACTGGACAGCTCCCTTTCTAGTGTACCCCTTAACGAAAGAAGGATCAAGCTCAATGCACTTCTCTGCATCTTTCAACGCTTCTGGCATTGCCCCCAATTTAGTGTAACTTGCAGCTCTGTTGCTGTAAGCCTGAAATGCATTTATATGTAGCAATGTGAGTTCAAAATAGACTTAATGATGCTTTAGTATACAGATAATTGATGCAGAACAAGCAGACATACTTTCGTGTCTTTAGGGTTCCTCCTGATAGCTTCTGTGTAATGCTTTACAGCTTCAGGATACTTCTGCTCCTTGAAGTACTCATTACCTACATAGACAAGTACAGATTACAAATTAATGTGCAGATACATAACAGGATATAAGCAAACTTACAACTTCCCAAATCCAAAACAGCTCTTAAGCGTCACAATGTCAAATAATTGTTAATAGAATGAAATAGAATTTCCAACATACATAAAAAGGTAGTAATACCTTTTTCACGTTCTTCATCAGCTATATTAGGATCAAAATACTCTTGCTGCTCCAAATCTTTCTTTGCTTTTTCAGCATCATTAAGTTTCTTCAGTGTGTCAGGATTACGGTGCTCTGTCAAAGCTTTGTGGAAAGCTTCAATAGCAAGATCATAGTCCTTTGAAGTCTTTGCAATTTTCGCCAAAGCAGTTCCTTTCCTGGTCAATGCCCTGGCAACCATTTTGTAGTCTGATCGAAGCTCCCTACCTCTTTCAACAGCTTGGTCACAGTCCTTGATACACTCATCATACTACACAGGGATTTAAAAGGAATGTAAACCAATCAGCAATCATTTCCACAAACAGATAAAAGACGGATGATAACAGTAAAGTACATCAATAACAAGAAGCACAGAGTATACAAATAATCAACAAAAGCCACAAAGCAATGATTGAATGTGAATTTTCAAAGGTGTAGTATCATAGAGACCCTATATTCAATACACTAGGTAAGGGTATGAGAATTACTCACTAGGAAAGTCTTGAAACTATTGGTGAACAATTCGAACTCGATTAGTATTCCTAATTGTTGGACTAAAACCTTGAGTTCAACTCAGATTCAAATTGGTAAAACGAACCTAATCATCAAACACAATACTTATCGAGGAAGCATAGCATAGGGAGGAGACACTCTTTCGCACCCTTCTAATTAAACTCAATCATGTAATTTCAACCTCGATTGGTACACAAAATTGAATGGCCAATTCACCTCAATTAGGCTCATTCATTAATTAATCAGCTGAATACCTACTTTCTTCCACTACAACCAACATCTTCTATAATTTACAAGACAAGACAAACTAAACTGAATATGTTAGCTGTTATGACCATTCATAACACAATTCACTACGAAAAAAAAAAAAAAAAAACTCAATCCTATACCATAGACTTCATTACCAATCTATATGTACACCCTAACCTCTGAAAAAAATAAAAAAAATAAAAAAAAAAAAAAAAAAAAAAAAAACAGGTCTTCAAATTAACACTACTCCGTAATAATTTGTTCAAGAAAAGCATGTTCTACCTTACGAGTAATTCTTTAAAATTTCAGTGAAAAAGGTGAATATCATGTTGACATGTTCTAACACCAAGAAAGCTATGGTTTGTAAATCTTTCGGCTAGCAACAACACTTAATTCAAGTCTAGCACTCCAGTAGTAGGATAACACTACAGCTGCAATTGTAGTCAGAACAGTCACAATTTTTTCATTTAATTGACCAAGTAATAACATTTAGCTACTAATTAACTATTCAAAAAAACCATGTTCTCTCTCAATCTAAGTGAAAAGGTTACCATCATGGTTAGCTAGAATGACAAAGCATTAACATTCAAATAAAAAACAACAAAAGTAGCACATAAACCTCCAACAACCCATCAACAAGTAAATAATCAATTCATATGCCATATATATAACAATAACATAATTAACCAAACTCGTTTACTTATATTGGGCTACAGTACGTTATCGTATACTTAAAACCTTAAACAACAGTACACTAAAATAACATCTATAACATTCGAAACTCGCCTCGATGGAGCTCCTATGTCATATGACTAATATCAGCTCAGTCATCAATCATCACAATCAATCTCTAAGTCACATACCAAAATTCAACTTCACACCAATCACAAGCTCAAGACTTCAAACAATTGAAAACCATTTAAACAATTGAAATCAAAGAATAAATAAAAGCAATGTAGGAATTTACCTTGCCCATCTCAAGATAAACAGCAGCCCTATTAGTCAAGAAAGAAATATCCTCATCATCCAATTCAATAGCCTTACTATAATGTTCAATTGCCTTCTCAAATTCCTTCTTCTTATAAGCTGCATTCCCAGCTTCTTTCTCCTTTTGGGCCAACCCCTTCCTCTCCTTCTTCTGCCTCTCCTCTTCATCCTCCTCCACCATCGGCTCAGGTTCGGGTTCCGGTTTCGGCTCCGGCTTTGGCTCAGGTTTAGCCTCAGGCATCTTAAATTCTCTCTCAAATGCGGGATCCTCGGGCTGAACCTCCATATCCTCAGGCCCATTACCACTCATCATCTTAATATTCAACAAAACCCCAAGAGCTTGCATAACCCTTTGATCCTTCAAGTACATATTCAAATTATTCGGATTCTTCTGGATCTCCTGCATCATCTTCACAAAATCAGGCTGCTGCAAATACCCACGGGTACCCGGATCCGCAGTTAGCTTGGCCCACATCTCCGGCCCAGAAAAAGCATCCCCAAAAGGAGAAGCAGAAGAACTACTGGGCCGGGCACCCCGAGAAGCCGCGGATTGAGCGTCGGAAAGCCCAGATTTAAGGGCCTCGTTATTCGGGTCGAATTCAAGACCCTTTTTGTAAGCAGAAATAGCGTCGGAAAAATTATGAAGACCTAAATATGCAGCACCCAAACGACTGTAACCCTTGGGCCAATCAGGTTTTAGGTCGACGGTTTTCTGGGCGTCGGTTAAAGCGTCGGAATAGTTCCCGCGAGAAGCGTGGGCGGCGGATCGATTAGAGTAGAGGACATGATTTGTGGGGGCGAGAGAAATAGCGTCGGAAAAGTGTTTAATTGCGTCGGCATAGTTGCCGGAAGAGAAGGCGGCGTTACCCTTTGCTTTAGCTTCGTCTGCCATTGAAGAGAGAGAAAGAGAATTTGGGAGGAAAGAGAAAGAGAGGGTTTTTGGAGAGTGAAAGGAAATCTGGAAAAAGGGGGAGATTAATAGGCGAAGCAAGAAGAGGAGACGAGAGAGTTCTGGCTGTTGTTGGGGAAGGTGAAGTGGTTCTGGAATGTTCTTGGGTTAACGAGGGGTTGGAATTAGGGATGAAACTAATTCGGTTTAAAATCGAACCAAATTGCAATCCGAATCGAAATAGAAATACGTTACGGTTTTTTTTCTAAAATGGTTCGGTTTGGTTTTTTAAAAAAATAAATTTCGGTTTTCGATTTGAGGAATTGAAAAACCGAAAAAATCAAAACCAAACCGAAATTTCGGCCCAAACCCCAAATACACACTAGCCCAACTATGATTTTAGCCTAAGTATATAAAGTAAAAAAAAAACCCTAATCTAACATTCCTCCTCTCTGCCTCACACTCTCTTATTCAGCTACTGCTACTCCACTCTCACTAAGACACTGACTCACTTCATCAGTCGGTCACTCCACCGTTCACTAGCGTCCGACCACCATCCACCGTCCAACCGCACCCACAGCCACTCGTCTGCAGTTCGCCGGAGCCCGGAGGCCACCACATGTCCGCATATCTTCTTCGCGTTCTTTTCTCCTCCTTCTGAATTTGTTTGTTTAATTTTTTTAAAG